TCGATATTCTCGGATATTAATTGACATATTTAAGTTCAATTAAATCATGAAAATATCCATCCCTTTTCCAGGGCACCATTATTCCTATTATTTTTTCTATGCATAGAGAGGAAGAGGGGGAGGGAGAACGAAAAGAAAAGAGGGACTTTTGACATGAGAATTCCTAAAATCGTCTCCTGTAAATTAATCTCACCCTTGAGTCAATATCGTATCATGTAGTCATCGAAATTATAGTTATAAAACCCAGTTTTGTTTGATAAATCAACTCGGTGATCCACCGCCTCGAGAAGACGGTTTTACTTTGAACTGGTATCTTTTCATTTAGCAAAACAACATCAAGGGCACTTTGTTTTTGACCTGCATCCAAGCGAGTCAACCCGGCTGGGTCGAACCCTGGTGTCTTATAGCTTTGAAGAAAACAAGTAAGCTATACCCAGATCATAAACAAAACTTGCAGTTTGCACGTATAAAAAAAAATATAAAGATGAAGGGTTGCAAATCAAGAAAGTTTTTGAAGTAACGAAGGAATTACATATACAAGATATGTAACAGATCATACATACCTGTTCTGCTGATAGCCTCTTGTTTTTAACCTGGAGCTCTTCACTATGGTTGAGGTAGATTTCCTTGTCTGCGACTGCAACTTTTGTCTCTGCTGGCCTACAATGGCTAAGGAGGGAGCTTTACTTCTTTACCACGGAAAGAAGCTGCTGGCCTACAATGGCTAAGGAAGGAGCTTTCTCTGCACTGTCGTGTGTCTACAGGTGGAGTGAAAGACTGCCTCTCTTTGGCTGTTTATAAAATGCTGTCAGCTAGTAAGAAATTGCTCCGTCTTTTTCCAAGCCGCATCTCATTCGACGTGGTTGTAGCCATTTTGAACATTTTGTTTCATTTATTAACTTATGGGCTTCTTAACTCCATTTTTGCATTCAATATGCACCCCAATTCCATTTGACGATTTATAGTTTGAGATTTTTTTATTCTTTTTATGATTTTTGTAGTTTTTTTAATAATAAATTTAGTGTGTTCATGTTAAGAATATATAATAATAATAATAATGTATATCACATTAACAATCACGAACACTATATAGAGTACTCGTGAAAAGTGAATTCCCCAGTAACATGCAAAGAGACTTCCTTTGGCACTCATGGAATTTCAGTCCTGGACCGAAACACAAATATTTTTTGTTACTGATAATTATATTTTAATTGTCAATTTTATACTGAAATGACCATAATAATCCATACTCGACGACCTCCCACTTAAAACTTCACTGGTGAGTTCTCCTTTCAATTTTTAATAAAAGCTAGGCAACGGGATGCTATAAATTTGACAGTTTGATTGATGGAAGATATATATATATATATTATCATGCTCCACGTGTCTTCGAATTGATCAGAGCACTCCACGCTGTCCTGGATCTACCCACTTGCCATGGTGCATGTCGGTTTCCTCAGTATCGATGTCTTCGTGAAAATCGTGAGAAATTGAGAATTGCCCATCAGAGGGTACCGTTTTGGAAGCCCACTCGTGAAGCAACTTGTTCTGAATTTTCAGAGGGATCTGACAGCGCCAAAGAAGAAATCAATGGACTCAGGGCATTAAACATGTGTTAACTATAGGAATTGATAGCTAACGCATGTATAATATATAGTCCATGGTAATAGAGGGTAACACGACATTTTTAAGATAAATTAATATTAAATGGCTTGATGGTTAAGAAGGTGCTCTCTTTTTCTTGAGTTTTTGAATTTAATGTTTGGAGTTAGTGTCCAGAGACTTTTATTAAATTAATCTTAGTATACGAGATTAATGTAAAAGATATGCTATTAAAATTACATGAGAAAACAAATATTGTTCTGGTTCACGCGTAATTATCATGGAAAAAAAATGGAAAGACACTCAAGGAAGGAATTTCTCAATCAACAGTGTGGTAACTATTAGTAGCACCAAACACGTGTATCCCGTGCCGCGTTGTCGTGATGGATGATGCATTTGGCATGGATAACGTTTTTTATATAAAAACATGTTTTTTAAATATAAAAAAAAAATTATTTTTTAAAAAATTATTGGTTATATCAACATATAAAAATATAAAATACATTAATTTTAAATAAAAAAATATTTATTTATCAAATATCATTTAAACTACATTCTCTAACGCTATCATGAATTTATCTAATATATCTTCAAAGAAAATATATTAATTGTATCCATGAACCTCCTCCTTCTATTTAGAAGTATATTGGGGCATAGTTTAAATTAAAATTTATAGACATTTAATTTTTATATTTAAAATTTATTTTTTTATTTTTTGAAATTCTTTTAATGTGTTGTTGTTAAAAATATTTTTTATATAAAATACATTAATTTTAAATAAAAAATATGTATTTATCAAATATCATTTAAACTGCATTCTCAAACGCTATCATGAATTTATTTAACATATCTTCAAATAAAATATATTAGTTGTATTCATGAACCTCCTTCTCCTGTTTAGAAGTATATTGGGGCATAGTTCAAATTAAAATTTATAAACATTTAATTTTTATATTTAAAATTTATTTTTTTATTTTTTGAAATTCTTTTAATGTGTTACTGTTAAAAATATTTTTAAAAAATACTATTTAAATATATTTTTTAAAACATTTTAAAAATAATATTATCATTCCTGCAAATACCCCAAACTAATAATTTCAAAATTGAATCAATATATTTCTTTAATTTTTAGAATTCATTTAATTTTCGTTCTATCCATGCAGTTAACTTTTATATATATATATATTTAAAAAACTACATCAATTTGTACTCTCTCTCTCTATCTCTTTTCCAATTTCTCGGGAAACTGTAAACCTTTTTCGTTTTCCTTCTCCTTCAGACTAACCAGAACAAAATTGAATCAATATATTTCTTTGATCTCATCTACCTAAATTTATTTGATGAAGTGGATTGAAACAACACTCAATTATTATTTTCAAGGGAATTAGTTATTAATCTGTAATCTTATGGTTTACTTCTTTAGTTTCATAATTATTACACGTCCTGATATAGTTGGTTCAAGGTATTAAGCAAGAGGTCCAATAAGAAAGCCACACTTGCACTTTAATTTGTCAGTTTATGCCTACCTTCTTACAATTAATATAAATCAGGTGACATTGAACTATAAGAATAGAAATAAATAAAAACAGCCAAGCCCCTTTAATTTATTCCCAAGACATGAACCGTCAACCTCGTGAAATCTAATTAATATTTGATGATCAATCGAGAGACTACACGTGTCTGTGATGTGTCCATAGAGAGAGGTAAGACCATGGTCCACAGGATTCTTTCAATGGCCAGTATGATGCCTGTGATGTGTCCATAGTTTTTTTGTTTTTTAATTATTATTCTTTTTTTTACATGGAAGAGAGACAGAGAGAGAGAGAGCATTATTCCAAGACCGATGGCGACGAATAATTTTGGTTAGATCCCGTTAGCCGTCTAAAAGTAGGGGAAATATTGAAAACCACAGAGATATAATTGAAGTATTGTGATCGTATATACTGATAGAAATGGAGTGCTGACGATTCATCGCTGGTTTTGGTATATACGTGGAAGGTTTAGACAAACCATACCTGTGTTCTATGCAGTAAATACATACGATGCCGACCATACTGTTTACTATGGTACTTGTTAACTTGGTTTTGAAGGTATTTAATATTTTAAGTGTTTTTAGTTTAAAAATATATTAAAATAATATATTTTTTTAATTTTTTCATATTAGAATATAAAAAAATAAATATATAGAAAATTATCTTGTAAAAAAAATTGAAATTCTTATTTAAATCATAATTATTTTTTAAAATATTCTTACTTAAAAATATATAAAAATAATATTTTTTATTTTTAAAAAATTATTTTTAATATCATACATCAAAACATAAACGTAACTGTGAATGTCACGTAATTGTGAATGTCCATCGGAGATAAATCTCTAAGCTGTATCGAAAGCAAAGTTCTAACGTTCCACCGAATGGTAAAGAGGCAGCGAAGGATCTGGACACGTGTTTTTGTCGTCTTCATCGTTGCAGCCGCACCGAGACTGCGAAATGGAGGGGGCCGCACCGAGACTGCGAAATGGTGGGGGGGGGGG